GAGATTATTCTGCCTTTGCACCTGCTCAGCAATAGAAAAGGGATCTGAAAGTGGTGTCACACTGTCCACTTTTGCTGTGTCTGCTGAGGGGTACCAAGGCACAGAGAGTCATTGGCACCTCCAGTAATTTTTTAAAAATTTATTATAATAAATCAATAACTCCCACCCACCAGTCTGAGGCATGTCAAATCTGGCCCTAAAAATATCAGCACTTGCCACATTTTAACTAGCAGACTCCACTGCTTTCTGATGCATTTACTTCTATTTTTTCTTTCTTTCTTTTCTTTTTCTATTTTTGCTTTTTTAAGCTTTTATATATTTCATAGAACTTGGTCTACACTGAAGCGTGGCACTGTTAATAGAGAATTACCCTTGGGGTTTTGTTTCTGTTTGCTTCATTTCTTTTTTTCCCTAGTTCAGTAGCTTTTAGCATAATATTTATATTTAGAGATAGACATTATAAGATGGTCCAAGTTGTGGACTGCTAAATGAAAAAACGAGTGTTTAAGGAAATAAGTTACCATCTAGTAAAGTTATATTAACCCTAAAAGGTAAAACACTATATTCATTTAGCAGACAGTCCAGTTTCTCAGCAACATTATTTCAAACTGGACTCACTTTCCTCAGCATAGCCAACTAAATGGAAAATCAAAATGATGGTGCTAATAACGCCAAGTTCACAGGATCAATCCCTGCTTACTGCAGGGGGGTTGGGCTCGATGATCTCTCAAGGTCCCTTCCAACCCAAAGCATTCTATGATTCTATGATTCTAGGGTTCACTCAAAGCACCAGGGAAACACCATCAGGGGACAGACAGAGGAGCTGGCAGGTACAAGACCAAAGGAGTTTGATAAAGCAAGGGGGAATGTGGATATCAAAGTGGAAATTCACCAGTTTTGTAATCTAAAAAGAGGAAAAAATATCCCCCTAAGCAGGAGTAATTATCAAAATTCTTTGTCCTCTGTTCTGCTCCCTCTCTAGCAGTTATTTGCCTTAGAGGAAAAAGGAGCATGGAGGAAGTCAGGCAAGGCACTGCTCAGGGTATGGATGGGGGGATGTACCCAGCCCAGCTGGTACCAAGAAGCTGTGACAAAGCACCAGGGTGCCAGAGCTGCCTGCTTTGCAGGTCCTGGGACCAGGCTCTCCCACGGGCACCGCAGCTGCGGGAGGTGCAACTTGCTGTCCTCAACACCTGCTTTGGATGCCAGCTGCAATCCTAACAGCTGGCTGGGGAGATGGCTGTTGTCTTCACAGCTGGCTCTATTAAACAAGAGAAAAAGTGCTCAGGTATCAGGAGAGAGACGTACGAAAGGGATTTGTGGCAAGAGCTGAGGAATATGATGCATGAAACAGTGCAGGTTGGGTCAAGAGGGCTGAATGGAGGAGGCGAGGCTGGAAGCGGGGAGTGCGGGAGGAAGGGGACCAGGCATGAAGACAGTTACAAAAATCTAGGTGAGACACAACTAGAGCAGAGGGAAGTGAAAAGCAGGGCATGGGGAAGTGATGGCCATGTGGAAAGGAGAGAGACAAAGGAGAATCAGGGTTTTAGTGCTGTTTGCTTACCCATTCATGGAGCCATATGCTTTCATACATACATATATACATACACGTGTGTGTATACATGTATGCATATATAAAGACATACCCACCCCTTTTTAACAGTGGTTGAATCTATGCTTCTTAATGCTGATATCATACTTGCAAATAGCAGGGGATCAGAGGACTTCTCGGGCATATCACTTCATTATTATTAAATCTTTCTCCTTTGAAGTCAGGACATCTCCTCTATGACTTTTAGACCTGGCTAAATCTTTCTTCACTTTTCACTCAACTTTCAGTACTGGAGATGTAGGCATCTAGTAGCCCTATAAAAGGACACAGAAGACATGTACTATGAGAATATTTCTGGGTCTCCTCCAGGACCTATTCCAGTTTCTTCACCACAGGGGAGGGCAGCTCTGAGAGGTGCTGGGTTGGATGCCACTAAAGACAGTGCAAAAGCTCTTTCTGCAAAAAAGGAAAAACAGCGATGAAAGACACTAGGCAGGCTGTTGTCTGTTGGAGAATGCTGCTGGGAAAAAGAGTGGTCAAGCATTGGAACAGGCTGCCCAGAGAGGTGGTGGAGTCACCATCCCTGGAGGTGTTCAAAAAACATGTAGACATGGCACTTTGGGACATGGTTTAGTGGGCATGGTGGTGTTGGGTTGATGGTTGGACTGATGATCTTAGAGGTCCTTTCCAACCTTAATAATTTCTAGTTTTTCCTTTCATGAAAAAATAATCCAGCCACCAAGCCACGAAACATGGAATTACTACCCTACCCTTAATTGGTTTAGTGGTGGACTTGGTAGTGTTAGGTTAATGGTTGGACTGGATGATCCTAAAGGTCTTTTCCAACCTAAATAATTCTATGATTCTGTGGAGAGCTCAGAAATCCTGTGGGTGGACCTGCCCTGGAGAGGCTGGAAAGGAGCCTCCTGGAGCCTTTTCCTGGTCTTTGAACCTCATTTTAAGCAGTGATGTGTCACTGGAGGCTGGGCCCAGCCTTACCTTCCCAGTTTCTTGCCCAGCCCCAGGGGAGGCAGATGGCAGCCTGGCCTGGGAGGCTAATGCTCTGTTTCTACACGGGAAAATGTGTAAAACAGACTAACAATGAGAAAAGGAAATACACATTTGAATTCACCTTGAAGATTGCCTTCCCTTTAGAAGTTTTTCTTTATAGCCTTTCTTGGGAAAAGATTTTCCAGATTTCAGCTTCATTAGCAACTTTGTATGGCCTTTCACTTCTAAACAGCTTAAGTACATTATACATTCACAAGTTCATTTTCTTTACTTATATGATTTTTTTTTTTTTTTTTAATTCTTACTTGGGACATTGAACACTAAATTCTGCTCCACCTGAGTGATTTTTTTTCAACTCAAAGAGTTGAGAGAACAAATTGCATTCAGTTCATGCTTTGCAGAGAATTAAATAAATTAATACAATTTTCTCTGTATTGTAAGTGTTCCCAGTCACCCCTCTTCATGACTGGCAATGTAGCACACTATACTCTTAACTCAGAAAGGAAGATATCATAGAAAAAACTGTAGCCTAAAGATACACAAACCTAGGAGAGTATCTGCCCCACTTACTAGCCCAGTGCGGGTTTCAGATTTTATTTCTATAAGAGAAATCTCAAACTTACAAGTGTCAAGTCCGCAGCATTAGGTTTTGTGTGCTGCAGTAATTGGCAGGTAATGTTACAGGACATCATTCAAAGCTGTCCCTTCTTCACATGCTAATAATAAATGGAAACAGTATAAACAATTCTAGATTTTTTTTAATTTAGTTTGTAATTAATAAGAGCTTAGAGTTTGTTATGCCCTTCTGTTTTTTTCTATCCTTCTGCTAATAGATCAAATGCACTGAAATTGTAACCAGACCTGCAAATGCCCAGGCAACCTGACTTCAAACAGGAATGAGAGAGCTATTTCTAAATTTGCTTCATCTTAAAATTTAACAGCAACAGCTATTTATTACAGACCTTCATATAGTAATTTAATGTCTAAGGTCTGTCACTGAAGGTTCAGTCATTCCAAGGAGTTCCCTGAAAGAGGATGGCAGATAAGAGGTGAAGTTGTTCTGCTAGTCTGAATGAAAGCAGTCTTAGTTATTTCTGCTCTTTCATGGAAAATGCTTCCTAACTCTTTTTGAGAGTGGCTCAGAATGGTACAACAAAATGCTGGAGTGTAAATATGCTCCTTGCTGAGTGTCTAAACATCAAATGTGAAATTCAGCATTGCTTGTCACTAGAGAACTCTTGTTCTTCCTGACTCCCCGGTACGGCTAAGTCTCATCTTCCTAGCTGCTTAAAAACAAACCTCATACGGGGTCATCCTTGAGGCCTCGTTATAAAAGAGTGACTTGGAAAGAATTTAGTTCAGTTTTACAGTGAGAAAATCAAGGCTGCTATCAGTCTTTGGATCATACTAAGCTCAGGAAACAGGATGGGCTCTGTTATTGCAGTGGTAGATCGTGAGGAAAGAAGCAGTCTCAGGATGGCGATCTTGTGATGAGTCTTAGCAGCTAGTCTACAAGCTACGAGTCTATGATTACATAGGTGTGAAAGCATGGCCAGCAGTAGTGTGATGTCGTCCCTCGGTAGCTGCAGACCAAATGGCAGCAGCATTTGCAGTTGCTCTTGGGCAGAGTGAGGTGTTGCTGTGGTGACAAGTACGTGCATCACTGGTTAGCTCCTCACCTAATAAAAATGGGTGCAAACTTGTACTGTTAGAGAGGTGTTGCTTGTCAGTGAAGAGCCCTTTAACCACTGCTTGTGGTGGTTCCTATCTTGAACTAGCTGCGGTGAGCCCCTGGGGCTGCAGCAGCAAAGAGGATGGGGAGAGGAGCAAAGCACATTAGTCTGTTTTGAACTATCTGTTATCTGTCTCAGGCCCTTGATCCTGAGACTGGAAATGAGAGGCCCTGTAAGACACTCGCTCTAAGAAGGATTTGCAAAAATGGAGGATTTGTTGTTCCTGAAGCCTTTTTCATGCTTAAAAGTTGCTGTTTGAGAGAACAGAAAGGCCGTTGTAAGTAGAACAAGCCAATAGGGTGAGGTGGAAGTCACAACGCTACATGTCTTTGTTCAAACTTACAGTAAAATCTAAATTAAAGTGTTGAGCGTTTCAGATGGGTCTCTTTCAGATGGGTTCTCTCCTTGTCAAAAAAGGGACAGAGTCCTCCAAAGCTATGGCTAAGCCTAGAGAGCAGGTCCCACTGCACAAGTGGCTATCTTACATCTTTCAAAACAGTTTAGCTGATTGCTGCTGTGAACAAACATGAAATTGAAATGTAGTTAATTAAGACCCCCTAATTTTTTCTTTATCCCCTCACCATAAGGATTCTTTCTTCAATTTTCCATTATCTCACTACATTACCTCTAACATTTAATCTCTTTATTATAGAGGAAACAGAAAACACACCAGAAAACAACCTCCCTCTGCTCCTCCCCTCCAGAATCTCCTAGTAAACAAAACAGGGAGAGTTATCTGTGGCAATTAGAGCCTATAATGTGATAGATGGATAAGATATTTATGTGACATCACCCTTTGCTTTCATTGGTTAGTTTTTCTGGTTGCTGCACTGTAAAATAAGCTGCTCAGCTTTGAAGATGAGAGAAGCAGATAAATTTATTGATAAAAGACAGAATGCTGCCATTCTAAAACTCTCCCCTTTGTTGCATGGTTTACATGAGGACATCAGTTGCCAGCAAAACAGTCAGGATCTGCAGATAACTCATTCATTTGATGGTGCTATTTTAAGGCACAGATTGTGTACGTGAATGTCACTGACATCACATACTTTCCATGTTCTGATAGATCTTCCTTTGTCTTACTCTTTGTTTTGCAGCTCCCATCTCTTCTCTTTGAAAGAAATTCTCCAAAGCAATTGCATTGCATTCATTTGGCTTTACAAAACTTCCTAGTAATGCATAGTTAAATACATCAGGATGTTCCTGTTTGGACATTTACTAGAATTGCTTCTAATTTATTATGAATTAATGAGTAATTCTTATCATCTTTATTACTTTTAACACAGTTCTTCCTTATAAAACCATAAAATGAAATCCTGGACTCACTGAACTCAGAGTTTCAACTGAGGGAATTTGCATGTTGCTGATACTAGTTGAGATTTTCTACTCATATGGGTGAAACCACTCTCAATATAGATGAGCTTAGGCTAAGAAAATTCATAAATCCTATTTGCTATTCAAATCTCGGTTTCCCTCCAGCATGTATGAGAAATCTAACTGTGAGAATAAATGCTAATATTCCTTTTTAAATTTGTTTTGCCTTGCAAGAGGTCCATTTGTTTATGAGCACGCTGATAGCCACGTTCATTGTGTAGGGTAAAGAACGTGAAGCTGTTTATTTTGAATTTAGGTTCCCAGAAAGCCCCTGCCCATGTTGCTGACATCATCCTAATTGTTCAAGTAGTTGTTCAGCAAAGCATCTGAAGCCACTTCACTTGTTTCAAAATGCTCTCCTCTAATTTCAAGAGGGAGTTTCTCCACACATGGTTGAAAGACAGCTAAGAGAGTTTTCACAGCTGCCATCAGTGTTCCAGCCTCTGTTGGGTGAACTTCAGTTTGTCAGCATGGAAGACCTCACTAGCACAATAGTCACTTAGAAATAAAACAGATTAGGCAATAGGAAGCTTAACAATTGCTCCTGTTGAACATTCATTGACTGTATGCACTTAAAGCCATTAAACAATAGATTTCAATGTTCTAGAAAGTGTAGGTAGCATGTATTGAAGTGGAAAAATACTTAAACTTTTACATATCCTAGGTCTTTCACATTTTTGCTTCCTTCCACCGGGTTCACTTTTTACCTTTGCTCATTCTATTCATAAAGACATGTAAGTGTACTGACAGATGATTTCTTTTGCTCTTACTACAGGTGGTTTACAAGCCCAACTACTGTAAATGCTTTTTATAGTGCATCTACCAACCAGATCAGTGAGTATCTGACTTCTGAGCTTCCTTATAAAGTGCCTGTTTGGGAAATGTATGTATCAAGCTTCAGATAATATCTGTACAGTTTGTGTGTTTGCTATTGAAAATCAAGAGCTCAAACCTGGTAATTCAGCTGTGAGACATTTTAAGTGAGAGGATAGTTCTGGAAAAGCAAGGGCTCCCACAAACTTGAATTACTGTTGCTTAACATGTTATCCCATGTCAGCTGAGTTGCAGTGACCGCTTGCGTGTGTACTCTGTCCATTGCAAATGTTAGCTTAAATCACTTTTTTTTAAAGCCTGATGTTTCTGTCTTCTGTTTTCTGTAGCAAAATAGCTCCATAAACATCCAGTAACCCTTTAAGTGATAGCAACTCAGTCCTCCAGTATTAAAAAATACGTATCGATAAACGTGACTAGAGGAGACTGTAATATAGACCAGAAAACCTAAGAAGTGGTGTCCAGAGGGTTTGTTCAATACCTTCAAGGACAAGGAATAGTATCTGCAGTTAACTTAACATTCTTACCTGTATAGTTTGATGAAATTATCTTGTATGTACAGTACAACCTGTCTTATGCTAATTTTAGTTACTGGTTGTTTTTCAAGAGCGTAAATCCTGGTTTGGAAGCATATGAGGTAAAAGAGCTGAGCTTTTCAAAGATGTGTGTGGATTTGGATGTTCATGCCCATTTGCTTTAATGGGACTTTGCATAGAAAATATCTAACGGGCTTTAAAAGTCTATACCAGTCTTTCTGTGTACAACAGTGTTATCTTTACCCTGGCACTTCGCTCTTATTAGCTTTGCAAGTTAAATCAGCCTTCTTGTTCTGTGCCATCAGGGTCTGGAAGGCAGCTGCTGTAACCTCTGTGGTCTTGAACCCTAAGGACAGGTGTGTCAAAAATCGCTGAGTGACTCCCCCTTTTTCTCCTGAATCCCTTTTAGTGGCGGAGAGAAGTAGTTTTTGAAAAGAGCAAAATGAATGTATCACACTGAAGAGGTTACAGCAGAGGACTGGCAATGTGGGTCTACTGGTATCTGCCGCTACTGATTTCTGTAAACAATTTTTGCCTTCAAACCACTCACTTAAATTCTCTTTTGTCTAAGTGAGCTCATTTGTAAAGTGTGTGTGGTAATTAGGCAGTTCTTTTGATTAAAATTAGTTCTAGGCCTAGACCACTTTACCTTAATTAGAAGGCTGCCATCACTAAGTAGCCACATTTTTGTTGATCATCCAAGGGAGCACTTGAGGCAGACTTCCCGAAGCTGATCACGGCTCTGAGGTACATAT